ATTTGAGGACTATATTATACAGTTTAACATCATAGCGTCTTTCTTCAAATGGGACGATAATATGAAATCTGTGTATCTCGTATCCTGTTTGAGAGGCAGAGCGCTTTCTGTATTGAGTGCCATGGAAGCCACTGATAGACAAGACTTTTCAAGAATTGTGCACAATATCTCCATCTATTGTGACAATGCTCTACAGCGCACTTTTGAGTTTTACTTAAAGAAGCTGCAGTCCCGGGTACGTTTGCCGGGTGAAACCCTCACTGAACTGGCACATGACATCAAGCGCTTATCCCGAGGAGCATTTGGTGACAGCCAACATGGAAAGGATGTTGCTGTGCGCACATTTCTTGACGCAATCCCCGATGATGACTTGTGCTGGAGTATCCACTCCAAACAACCACAGAATATTGAAGAAGCCCTTACCATTGGGCTAAAATATGAAAATCATTTTCATGTTAACAGAACTATGTCACTAAGATCTGACATTGATGATGATGATTTCCCAAGTAAGGTTGAAATCCCTTCAACATGTAATGCGCCATCTATCAGCACAAAGAGTGTATCACCTCAGGCTGCAAAGAAATCCATGGAGAGGACCTCCTGTGCTCAGACAGAACAACCTGATGTCATTGATAGTTGTGCAAAATCTGAGTGCAGTGTGAACTTAAGTGTTTCTCTGAAGTCACACTCATATAAAAGGAAGAAACACTTATGTTACAGGTGTGGCGATCGTAACCACATCTACCGATCATGTCCAAATAAGAAGAAAATACTGAGGAATGGACTTACTTCTTTACCCGAATGTGACAAACTCCAAGAATGTTGGAAAAAACTATTACAAATGATCCCGATAAATGGCAGTATGGTACCTAACTGTCATGGATTAGGCTAATAATGAACCTTGTCAATTATCCCTAAAAATGGACTGTGTACCATTGGATAAATTGTCATCATGATTATTCTGAAAAATAGATCGATATCTATTGAATTTTCATTGTGGTCATTATTTATCATTATGTGGTAGCTGATTTATGTTCCCGACAAAATGAGCCATATTGGGCCATTGGATAACATCAAAGTGAAATGTAAGGCTAGTGTATTTTGATTGCACTGCCTATTGAATACCAGTGTACACTATGGCTGCATATAGCGCTTGTGACATCATGATGAATGACATGGTAATGGTATATCTACTCTGATTTGGCATCCATCGCTATAATATTTACTTATATCTGCAGTGCTTCAACACCATGACAGTAATGTGTTTAGACTGATTTTCAAGCTGGAAGGAGTGCACGCCTACCATTATTGGAATGGGACTTTCACCGCTGTTAGTGTGGACTCTGAACAGTATGGACAGAGTTGTGGACTTATACCATTCATACATTTTGTGCTTATCAGCTTTTAGAGACACTGTAAATGTTTACTTTTCTGGGTTATTTTTAAATTAAACTCTGTACAATGGGTTGTTATTGGTCTGGGCGGTCCTCCCATTTTGGCATTTGCTGGTATTTAATTTTGAGGAATATGCCGTCCAGGCCAAGCAGATGACCATTTCTGAGAGTAAATAATAGTGATTGCCATAGAACAGCATACTGACTTTAAAGATTTTGTATGTAATTTTTGTAATGGTTTGTAATAATTTTCTGTACATTTTGTAAGCTGTGTAGCCATATTTTTGTCATTGATCTTTAATTTTGTAGTGATTTTTATGCCCTTTAAGATAGTATGCTGCAGTATAGCTTTCTTCCCATTTTGTACATTTTGAGGTTAAAGACCTCTCTCAGAGGGGAGGTATGTAGCGACCCTGGGTTGGCTAGTCATATTTTACTCTTATATAAATTGCCAACCTGGCACCCGGTGTCGCTACTTTCCTTCCGCTCTACAGCGCGAATAGTTCCGCTGCAGGGTCGGGGAAATAGTTGCTTGAGCTATATAGCTTTTGTTCAGAACAATTGTTTTGCAAGAGTATTTTGAACATGGCACGTTTCTGCTGTAATTTTATGTAAGGGTCAATCTCGCGAGAGACAGCGAGACGAGAGTTGGCGCCATAATAGTTTCCTCACGAGGCAATTTTGATTTCAGTTTTCCTATTTTGAGATATTTTCGACACTTTGTCAGCACCGATCGATTGTAATGGGCTAGCCAAAGGGAAGGAGAGACCAATGTGGCTGCGGAAATGAGGTTATATTTTCTCATTTTAACTCAACTGCTGTGCTGAGCATATTGTGAATTTTGAATTTATTTTCATTTTTGTCTTTGACTTCTGAGAGTCAACTGAGTTTGACATTGGGTTTAATTTGGTTATTTGGAACATCCATTTTGGTTGATTTTCTTTGATAGAAATATGTAATTGTTGGCTGGAAGATCTGGCCTAGATTTTGATATACAGTACTCAGCGCGCAGGTGAGATTTTACACAGCGCCACCTTTTGACACTCGCCCTTGAAGGTTGAAATTTATGTTGTTTTAATTGTAAGCGCTCATATAGCCACCATCTTACTTAAGTCATTTGTAATCTTTCTGCCATATAATTTCCTGTGATTTTCATTTGATAGATAAAACTGATGTAAAACCAGATCATAATTACTTATTTACAATTAAACTTTAGAACTTTACTTGATTTGTCGTGTTGATTGTTTGTAGTCATTGATTGATGGTTTAGATGGAACAACAGTAAAATGGCCCTATGATTACTTTCTGATATCTTCCCAACACCACTTCATCCTTCTGTTCCAAAACATTCTTGTCTAATTAGTGTTCTCAACTTTATTCTTTATTCAAAGATGGCAGCACCTTACGTATAGGCCAGTAATCAATCTTAACATTCAGCTCAAATCCGATACACTACGTGCTATGACCGTTCAGCTTACCACGCTACCATTTGTTTGCTCGTTCGGTCCAGTTTGTTTGTTTGTTTGTACGGGTTGCTTTGTTGTGATATTGGATTATTGATTGATTGGGCAGCCCGTACGTGGCAGTTTCGGGATTAAGACAGAAGCTGTTACATTTGTATGGAAATCCTTGTATGGAAATATTATATAGTTTCGAAAGAAAATATGACTCATGCGTGGTCTGAGATCGGCAAAAATAGCTTCTATAATATTTTCTTTTTGGACACCCTGTAGGTCGAAGGTGAAGGTCGAAGGTGCAGGTCGAAGGGTTTTTATAACATCCCAAAAGTAACCTATAACCTTTAGCAGACCACCGGCGACCGTGTCCGCCCATTCAAAATTATCGCCAGAATCCACCGGCGGATCCGGACGACACAAATCTAACTTTTGAAAACTTTACTTTTTTCCGCCGTTCTTCTGATCCAATAAGATTGCCCGATTTATTCAGTCCTTAGTAGGTGACTTCCTGTTGACCTAGAAATGGCGATGTTTCGAAAAATATTTCTCAATTCAACAATTTAAACAGTGTTAAAGTCGTTTTTAGTGAACAAATCGTACAAAATGACGGCCAAATACGATCACAACGAAAATGTGGAGGAAATGGATTGCGATTTCGAGCTCTTTAGGCTTTTGGAAGCCGATAATGGTCATCGAAAATAGAAACTAGAATATTTTCTGAACTGAAAAGAAGAACATTCGATTGCTGCATATTCAGTTTTGGATTCTGACCAGACGTTGAATCTCCCGAGGGGCGAAACGGCGGATTCCGGAGGAGTATTCATGGTATATTTATGCCCAGTTGTGTTTATGTACGAAAAAAATTCATGAGAACATTTTTCTCATGAGCCACGCTAGTGTATCTTCCCTTTGTGAAAATTTTATCCAGATTCATTCAGTAGTTATTGAGATATTAATTATTTAGTCCAGGCATATCATTTTTGAAAAATAAGTCAGACGCGTGGGATATATTTGCTGAAATAAGTCAGAGTGCAGAAGGATAAGTATAATTTGATGTAGATCAATCGAACCCCTATATGAACAGGTACATTTTGATAACACTATGGGGGGTAAGCGTTTTATAGTTGATCACAAATACTTTATGTGCATGTGATAAATGAATATGATTTCAGATTTTACATTATTTTACTTCCGCTTCTTCTTTAAAAGTTGGTTTTGCTGAAAGAAATAGAATCTACTATTTTTTTCAAGGCCTGTCTGCGTCGCTAACATGCTAAATATAAGAGTTAGCTGACGTTTGGGAGTCTGACTTACCTTCTAAAGGTTAGAACCAGAATCTTAATGAAACCATATCACCTTTGTTCCGTCAACCATGGAGCATTTGCCACAACATCCAAGAGGTAAATCATGGATCGAGAAAATGAATGATTTCCTTGTAAGTTCCAGAAGTTTCAATACGAAAAATTACCGAACATATGTGAAAACCGAATATTTGTTCGTTGTTTTCACGATTTACAGGTTCGTTTGTTCTTCAATGTTTTGGTCTAAATTATAAAGCATCACCAACAGGTCTTTCTCTATTAATCGACTAATACAGCAGACGGCTCATATTTCTACGTAGCATTTCATTCAGACCAATAGTGGGAGTGTAGATCACGCAGTTTCGTTCGTTGCGTACTTAACTTGAAATTGGTCATTTTTAATATTGACTACTTCACGATGTAGAACATTGCTTAATATTCTTTTAATTTTCACACCAGACATGCTTGGTTGAAATGTCAACAAAGTAAAGTTCAAGGGTCAATGCGTTATTTCGTGATAACTACAACGCCTTCCCGGAAGTCAACATTGATGAAAAATGAAAAAGTCGGAAAAGCATTTACGCTAATTTCTATCAAATGCTATGTTTATGCATCATCATCGACGCAACAAAGGTGATATAGTTTCATTAAGATTCGGGTTCTAACCTTTAGAAGGTAAGTCAGACTCCCAAACGTCAGCTAACTCTTATATTTAGCATGTTAGCGACGCAGACAGGCCTTGAAAAAAATAGTAGGCCTATCACAAGACATCAAAAAAAAAGCGGAAATTCATCTTATTTTGACAAATTAGATCTACTGTGAAACTGGCTCGAATGAGAAGTCCTTACCTTCAATGCGCAACAATATTGTGTTTTACACTAAAACCAAGACTGCATACTCCCGTGCAGTGTTAGTCTTCAACATAATACCGAGACACTGCATGGGAGTTCGCCAAGACTGCCGAGATCAGCTGCCCGGTTACGATCCTTGTTCGAGCATTTCGTTCAGTGAGAGCCCGGGGATTTGCATTGTCCTTATTTATACATGTAGTTTAGATCTAGTTCAATTTATTTATTTTTTATTTATTTATTTATTTATCGAGGTCAGTCTTACAATCAATAAACTATAAAAAATCAATAACAGTTTTACCAGCCCACCTTGGGTTTATAGGAAATACAAAATCACTCAGGGGCGGATCTGGGAAGCAACAAGGGGGGGGGGGGGGGGGGGGGGGTTAGGTCATCGAAAAAAACGTCAAGCTTGCGCGGAAAAATTTTTTGGGCCCCTAATACCTAAAACTCTAAAACCCCTAAAATTTTGAAATTTTGAAGCCCATTATCTTCAAAATTTGGCCTGAAATTAAAAGATAAGGCTTAAAAGGCCCAGTAATGACCAAAAAGGCCCACTTTTTGGAGCTTTAAGGCCTTTATGGCCCAACATTTTTTCTGGGCCCAATTTTTTTTCTGGGCCCACCCAAGGGGGGGGGGGGGGGCGATCCCCCCCCCAACAGAACCGCCAGTGTCACTAATACACGAAAATATAAGTAATATGGGATTATGGGCCTACCAGAGTTTCCTTTCAATTTTAAAACAAGGCATTAACATGACAAAATGTCACCACCTAAAACAATTTGGTCAATTAAAGCAAGTTGGAAAATACCTTTTGACCTTAAGAAGGTTTGATTTGAACTTCTTAGAACATGTAGATGATTTTGAAAAAAAATTCGTCAATTTGAAGCAAGTTGAAAAAATACCTCGTTGACTTTTTTTGAAATTGAGAAGGTAATTGAAGGTCAAATGTCAAACGTAAAGTCAGATTTGAACTTCTGAAAACATGTAGATGATTTTGAAAAAAAAATTAAGTAAATTTGAAGCAAGTTGAAAAAAGACCTTTTTGACCTTGAAAAGGTCATTGAAGGTCAAATGTCAAATCTAAAGTCAGATTTGAACTTCTGAGAACATGTAGATGATTTTGAAAAAAAATTAGTCAATTTGAAGCAAGTTGAAAAAAGACCTTTTTGACCTTGAGAAGGTCATTGAAGGTCAAAGGTCAAATCTAAAGTCAGATTTGAATTTCTGAGAACTTGTAAAGTCAAATTTGAACTTCTGAAAAGATGTAGATAATTTTGAAAAAAAATTGGTCAATTTGAAGCAAGTTGAAAACAGACCTTTTTGACCTTTTTTGACCTTGAGAAGGTCAAATGTCAAATCTAAAGTCAAATTTGAATTTCTGAGAACATGTAGATGATTTTGAAAAAAAATTAGTCAATTTGAAGCAAGTTGAAAAAATACCTTTTTGACCTTTTTTGACCTTGAGAAGGTCATTGAAGGTCAAATGTCAAATCTAAAGTCAAATCTAAAGTCATATTTGAATTTCTGAGAACATGTAGATGATTTTGAAAAAAAAATTTAGTCAATTTGAAGCAAGATGAAAAAATACCTTTTTGACCTTTTTTGACATTGAGAAGGTCATTGAAGGTCAAATGTCAAATCTAAAGTCAGATTTGAATTTCTGAGAACATGTAGATGATTTTGAAAAAAAAAATTAGTCAATTTGAAGCAAGTTGAAAAAAGACCTTTTTGACCTTTTTTGACCTTGAGAAGGTCATTGAGGGTCAAATGTCAAATCTAAAGTCAGATTTGAATTTCTGAGAACACGTAGATGATTTTGAAATTTTTTTTTAGTCAATTTGAAGCAAGTTGAAAACAGACCTTTTTGACCTTTTTTGACCTTGAGAAGGTCATTGAAGGTCAAATGTCAAATCTTAAGTCAAATCTTAAGTCAGATTTGAATTTCTGAGAACACGTAGATGATTTTGAAAAAAAAATTTAGTCAATTTGAATCAACTTGAAAACAGACCTTTTTGACCTTGAGAAGGTCATTGAAGGTCAAATGTCAAATCAAAAGTCAGATTTGAAGGTCAAATGTCAAATCTAAAGTCAAATCTTAAGTCAGATTTGAATTTCTGAGAACATGTAGATGATTTTGAAAAAAAATTTAGTCAATGTGAAGCAAGTTGAAAAAAGACCTTTTTGACCTTGAGAAGGTCATTGAAGGTCAAATGTCAAATCTAAAGTCAGATTTGAACTTCTGAGAACATGTAGATGATTTAGAAAAAAATTGAAGCCAGTCTAAACAGTATTTGTTAAGTTATAGGAAGTTGTAAGAAATTGTTACAGACGCCGGACGCCGGACGCCAACCTCCAACCTCCAACCACCAACCACCAACCACCAACCGCCGTCGCAAAAAAACGGAGACCATAACAATATGTCACCACTTTTGGTGGTGACATAATGAGTTGTAAACCATAGATCTATTTTTTTAAATGTTAGGTTTATATTGTATTCTATTCAAATTCTATCACTGTTAAACTGTATATCTGCTTTAAATGGGCTTGTTGGCCTTTTGCAGATTATTGATGATGATGTAGAAATCGGCAATATCACTGCTGTGAATGAATTGCCTTCTCCGCACAAAAGTCATCTTAATAAATCTAACAATTTTACAGGTACAGTATGTTCCCTACAAAGAAATTCAATTTTGCTACCTTCATTATCTTAATCTTTAAATTTACCTCATGAAGGTATGTTTTTCTCAGATCATCATATCTATTGCAATGGAAATTGAAATGTATTTCTGTTTCAACTGAGTTATCCTTACATAGGCCTACATATCGTGTATATAATCTCTCTTCCAAACGTTTTCCCTTAGGGCCCACTATAGAAGAAAAAATCATTGAAACATGTTACTCACACACTCGCTCAAATATGACACAAAGTTTGATTGCTTTAATATTGAACCACGAAAAAATAACTCACATAGAAAAAAGCATTTCAAGATCAGAGATCATTATAGACATACATGCACATGCTAAAGAAAGTGCATGTTTTAAATTACTGTTGATTTAAAAGATGGCGACACTTCATAAAATGAATGTATCATGTATTTTACAAACAACTTTGCCATCTTTCAAATGACATTGATAAAAACTTGAATGAAAGATAAGAATCTTATCAATACGTTGGGGGGGGGGGGGGCAGATTTCAAGTTCTACAGAAAAAAATCCGCGCTTGGGCCCAAATTTTGAAAATATGAGGCCCAAATAACTAGGCCCAAAAAGGCCAAATTAAGTCCAAAAGGCCCATTTTTGAGGCCCAAAGAAATTTTTGGCCCAAATTTGTTTTGGAGCCCACCAGATGCTTCTCTGCCATTTAATTCTGAAAAAATAACATGGCGGATAGACCTCAAATAACAAGAGGACACAATTAAACACTAAATAATCTGTCATTCGTGTGCAGTATGAATATGTTTTTCTTCTATCATTGCACAATGATCTTTAGATTTCTTGTTTTTTAGGTTTAACTGATTTGAAGCGCTTGAAGCGGTGTAACATACTTTACTCAAAGTTGTCAAATGGTCTGGCAGTCACGGTCTCACACTAGCCTACATAAAGCCGTCTTTCAAAAATAAAAAAAAAACTGAAATAGGAAAAAATGAATGTTGTTACTTATGCGAATTTTTGCCATCTCATTCAGCAAGTTGCTGAAGTTTTAAATAATGTAATCTGAATCCCACCGGAATACCCTGACAACGGCAAAGTCAGATACCGTTGTCACAAATGGCGGACATAACCGTCGCTTCAACTCTTTAATTACTTGGTCCTCGTTTCATGGGACTTTATCGTCGCTAATTCTGTGCATGTATTAAGCTCTTGTGATAATGTATTGTATGAAATCCCAATTTCTATCGAATGGGGTCGTGAATCGCCACAATATAGCGTCTTCGATATCGTCAATGACAACGGAATCTGGATTTGAAATAATTTACAGAAACAACGGACTATAATGGTGGATGTATTGCATTGGAATATAGGAAACTGACAACGGTAAATAGACACTTTACCGTTGTCTTTACATATACCGTTGTCAAATAATACCGTTGTCACCCCGATTTTACATCATATTTGGCCCACACCTACCGTTATTTATACAGCATCCGTTGTCCTTTGTCATCTTTCGATCGGTAAAATTAAGCCTTTATTTCAAATGGTATATGATCAGTAGAAAAACACTTTGAGTGATTTTTGTACAAAAGGAATTTAATCTAGTCGCTCTATTAAACATACAATTCATGAAAATCTAATTGAAGCAACGGTTATGTCCACCATTTGTGACAACAGTATCTGACTTTACCGTTGTCAGGGTATTCAGGTGTATAAGGGTAGGTGGTCCTATCAAATTTTGGTCCCACTCTCTATTGATTTATATGGTGACTTTATTACAATTATAAGTCCTTATTATTTATACACAGTCAGGGCCAGTAAGGGCCGTAAGGAAAGGGGCCCATAATCCTCAGGGGACCACAATTTCTTTTACACCGGTGTGAGAATGCAATATGCTTCTGATTCCCACACGGGCATTGGATTTAGCACACTCATTTTCTGTATCCTGTTTGTTAACCTATGATCGTTAATTTTAGTCATTCCCCTGAGTTCCCCTCGGCTCATTACAGAAAACTATAGCCATTTATCGCGTAATTCACATGTACCTGTTGAAAGCGATAATCTTTCTAGTCAAAAGCATAATAAAGCTACTATTCCAGTATAACTACTAATAAACTTGTTTTTCTGTAAATCAACGATGACTGTTTGCTAGTAATTCGACAATTTTTAATAAATCTAACAACAGTTCAGTTCAGTCGATGGCAATTACCAAATAGGCAAATAAGGGCTTCTGGAGTTTGTTATGCTGAGCAACTTTGTTTTCTATACGTTTGTGAAGAATATTTTGTGTCAATATGTTTCACTGCTGTTTACATTCCTATTTTATTTAGCACTATACTATTTTATTCCTCATATTCCTCAAGGATCATTGTACAAGGAGGTTTCACTTATCCATATACTGTCCTTTGCTTGAGACAATTTGTCGGTGTCTTTCAATCCACGATTTGAACATTATGTCGATCGTCGAACGATTTAGCTTGAAAAAACTATCCAAGTTTAGATATAATCCTATTTAACAGCTAGTTCCAAAATTTTAAATTGGTCATTATTTTCTGAATAACACAACATGTCACTTAGGGTTAGTACTGAAAATGTATTATGATTGAGAACCAACATTTAGAGTTTTTGGTCATCTACTTGGTCATAATAATGCTCATGTTTGACTTCAGCAGTTCACCACAGAGGTAAAAATCAAATTATATTCAGTGGATAGATTGTAAATGGGGGATAAGAAATCGGCAAACAGAGAACATTAAAAACATGACACAGTCATAAATTCAGAATGGCACGTTGAATGAACGTTTCTCAACCAAGAGAGAATCCATCTCAGACCACCAGGGAATAACCGCAATGAAATTAAGAATTTAAATTTCACAAATTGGAAAACAAGAAATGTTAAGGCAACGCATTAGTGTCAATAAACAAGTCATAATGATTATCAAAATATATTATATTATATCAAGACTTTACTAGTTACTTGTTTTTGTGATTGTTTTTACGGCTATTTGGAATGATTGTACAATAGTTAAAATACATTTTCATAGTAGTCAAAATACAATTAATCTACTGGTAAGAGGCAGGTTACATTACATCCATAATACATCCATCCATATATACATACATATAAAGCTAAGCTGAAATTTACAAAATGACTATACATATTCTAGTTATATAGAATAACATGAAAATATATAAACATGAAAATCTACAAGTACAAACTGTGCATTATAAAACTCATACTAAAATTTGATTTTGTCTAATTGCACAAAACAATTATGCGTTTCATTTCATAGAGGACATGTCTCAACCTTCAAGGTGCATTCTAAATATCTGTCATGGTTTTTAAGCATGATTCATGGGGAAAGTGTGAGGAAAGTTACCACTAATCAGACAATAGCATTTTAGAGCAAACTAAGAAATCAAGTGTTGGTTGTATTATAAAAGGGTTTGCATCTTTGGAAAGAAAGATGAAAAGCTTAATTCACAGTTACAGCTCCGTTATGGCTACATCTGAACTGTGATCTACATAGCCCATGTTTTGAATTACAGCTGCATTATGATCTACATAGGCCGTGTTCTGACCCACGACAGCATTACGATTTATAAAGCTAGGGTTCTGTGTAACAGCTGCATGATGATCAAAATAGTTTGGGTTCTGAACAACAGCAGCATTATGATAAATATAGTTTGGGTTCTGAACCACAGATGCATTATTATCTATATAGCTACGGTTCTGAGCAACAGCTGCATTATAATCTACATAGCCCGGGCTCTGAGCAACAGCTGCATTATTATCTATATAGCTACGGTTCTGAACCACATCTGCATTATGATCTACATAGCCGGGGTTATGAGCTACAGCTAAATTCTGAGCAAAGTCCTGAGCCTCAGTTACATTATTATCAATATGGTTTGGGTTCTGAACCACTGTAACATTATGATCTACATAGCCCGGGCTCTGAACAACAGCAGCATTATGATCTACATAACCAGGGTTCTGAGCAAGATATGCATTATGATCAATATGGTTTGGGTTCTGAACTACAGCTGCATTATGATCTACATAGCCCGGGTTCTGAGCAACAGCTGCATTATGATCTACGTAGCCAGGGTTTTGAGCAACAGGTGCATTATGATCTACATAGCCAGGGTTCTGAGCAACAGCTGCATTATGATCAATATAGTTTTGGTTCTGAACCACAGCTGCATTATGATCTACATTGCCAGGGTTCTGAGCAACAGTTGCATTATGATCTACGTAGCCAGGGTTTTGAGCAACAGCAGCATTATGATCTACATAGCCCTGGTTCTGAGCAACAGCTGCATTATGATCTACATAGCCAGGGTTTTGAGCAACAGCAGCATTATGATCTACATAGCCCTGGTTCTGAGCAACAGCTGCATTATGATCTACGTAGCCAGGGTTCTGAGCAACAGCTGCATTATGATCTACGTAGCCAGGGTTCTGAGCAACAGCAGCATTATGATCTACGTAGCCAGGGTTCTGAGCCATAGCTGCATTATGATCAATATAGTCCGGGTTCTGAGCCATAGCTGCATTATGATCAATATAGTCCGGGTTCTGAGCCCCATCTTCCTTCTGCGCAACGTTCTTAATCACAGCTGCATTATGATCAATGTAACCTTGGTCCTGAATTGTTTTTGCACTATGATCAACGCAGTTTGTGTTTTGATTCATGATTGTTTTTCCTTTCTTTGGTTGTTCCTGTATGTTTGTTGTTGAATGTGTATATTCAGAGTTATGGGAATCAGATGGCTGAATAGTATGATCGTTATCACTTTTAACAGTGTCATTTTCAACACATCCCGTGTCTGGATTTATTTTTAAAGCATTTCTAGCATCTTTTTGTCTTTGGGTAATGGCATTTCAACAGTGCCTGCTTCGGGGTTTATAGAATGCTCACTATTTTCAATCGTCATTGATTTATCAGAATTTCCAGATGTTACTCCACTTGCAGCGCGGACATAGTCTGGTACTGTCGAATCTGTAGCTGCCGATCGGGCTGCTGATACAAGCTTTGCCTCAGCGTTGGATGATGCAGAACGATCACAAGGTGGTTGTGTACTGGTTGTTGAATCTTGGGATACTGTTACTGTGCTCTCAGGTTGATGAGTCTTTGGCTGATCATGGCTATCTGAACCCTGGATAACATAACCATTCTCATCCAGGTGTCCAGGAATGTTAGCCAGATTCTTTGGATCCTTTCCAATCGCTAACATGGGAATTTCACCATTTTGATTTGTTATACAGTTTTTATTATGATCCACATTGCCAAGTGTCTGGACAGCCTCCGCATCATGATCCACATATCCTAGGTTCTGCGCCACATTTCCATTTGACATATTTGTTGTTTGTGTTCGCACATCAATGTCACAATGGAGGATTCTCTGGAATTATATCAATACAGTATTTACATATAGGGATATTCTGATTTTGGATGCTTTTGAAAATATTTCAAATACTGCATATTTCACCGAGTTAATGTTTATAATTGTTTTAAGGAAATGGAAGTCGTGCCCAGCATTTGAGTGGAGATTTTGGTGGATATTGATACTATTGGAGAGGTTAAGCTTTGCATATATAATCGAAACTGAACCTGTACGTATCACTCGACTATATACAAATTCATGTAGCCTTCTCATATAAATAGCCGTTCAAATCCAGTGTTTGTTTAGACTACACCATAGCGTGTAATGATTCTATAGTATGTCACTGATGCGGTTTTATAGCTTTTCTAATACGTATTTTAAACGAGCTCGTTTCGTAAGATTTTTGGCGCTAAATCATGCATGACATACATCATCGTGTTCAGCAAGAATTCAACTGTGCATCGAAATCAAAATTGACAGCATAGTGTTCAAAAGACACGAGTAAAATGGTTCCCGTTGACCCAACGTCAAATATTCAAATCTCCCGTTCTAAACCCGAAACTCTGAAGCTGAAAGAGTATCTGAAGTAGACTAAGCGCGCATAAAACTATGAGCGCTCGATACATTCCTTTGTTAATTTTTGTACTTTGCGTTCACGGTTACGTTGTGAAAAACATCGTTAGCTTAACCTCTCCATTATTTCATTAGTGCGAATACTCCCACGAAATATAATGTAGGACACTTATGACATCGTAAATACACTGAAAAAATACAAAGCAACACAAAACAGTTCGAGACAAGATAATACAACAAGATAAAACAAAGAACGGCACAGTGCAATGTAATACAACACAATACAAATATACAATAACGCAATACAGTCAAAGAACTTACTGGTGATTCCTCTTTAATTTCTGGTATGATCTGATAGTGATCACGTGGTGGCGGGTACCCTCTGTCGTCATCGGCTGTAATATGATTTCCCTCAGGGATTGTCACTTCAGGAACCTGGAAATGAAAGATGTGAAATCGTTGGCATGTTCACAATCGAAGCGTCAGTATTTCTTGTGTGGTTGTTTCAGTTCACGGGAGTTCGCTGTCCCATAAGATACTGCTGATATATTTGAGAATGTTGATACTTACATTGATAAGCGGTCTGGTCTTCTTTTCCTGCCTTATCACTAATCTGAAATACAAATGTTTAATTTTCATAATTGCATTATTAATATTTTGATTCATGTGCAATAATCATTTGTTATAGACTCAAAAGTAGAAATGAATATGTTTATTGCACGCTGACAACTGAAGGAAGATGCTCTTTCGATTGTGAACAACAGTACTTACGTAATTATTTGGTAAATTCCCAGACATATAAGCGCAAGCAGGAGAACGCCAGCAATACATATCGCAACAATCACTGCAGGTCCCAATCTCTGAACTGCAATCCAATATTTAGATCATTAAAAAAAACTATAATACATATTTCTTGAACTGTTGTAAATGATGTTTTAGTTGTATATAACATGTCATGACGGCGAAGTCGGTGATGGTTGGTATAGTGGAGGATGTTTAGTTTTTACCTGCTATGACAGTGGCAGTGATGGTTGGTGCGGAGGGACTATTTCCCCGGTTTGTGACTGCCTCCAAAGTGAGGTTATATGAGATCCCGCCCCGTAGGCCTTCAAGCTTGTGTTGTGTTGCATATCTCTCCACGGTGACGTTTGCCATCTCTAGATGGTTACATAATAGGTGAAAAGTTAAAACCAATCATTTATAAAAATAAGTCATAAAAATGAGATAATATGCATACATATAAGTATATGCAATCATTGTCATTATGAAAGAGAATGGACAATACGATCAAGTAATAATATCGGTGGATATGTAACAACAATATTATGTAACAATGTACTTTTGGTAATTGGTATTCGGATTCAGCTTGGTAATCACGTACGGCAAGACAGAAGTAAATGGGTAATCATTATGGATGGTCAGATATTTCAAGGTATAATTTTCACATTGAATAAAATGAATAAAATAGTCAAAACGAAATATGCCTGATAAACGTTAATAATGAGAATGGCCCCACACCTTTGCAGTCGTCTTGCCTGCAGTAGTAGATCGTGTAATACTGCACGATACCATCATACTGATCGCATGTATAGTGGCGCCACCTCACATGTAAACTCTCTGCCTCTTGACTCTCTGTGAAGCTGAAACTAGGTGGGGGTACTCCCGGTGCAGCTATTCAATAAAAGAATAACCACAATATTGTGAATGAATAAACCCAAAATATCTCGCTACAAATTGTTTTACTACTGTTAGAATATAATGGTGGTCACTGAAGTTGGGAGATGACTCCAGTTTTTGGTGATGGACTGTGTTTATAGAGACAGGGTGTGACAGGGTATAACTGTTTCGTATCTTCCAGAGCAAATCTAAATTACGGAAAAAATATCTTGTGCTATTTTCCTTAACATGTTAAAATATTAGTTCATTTTGTTCACTATGAAACATTGTCCAACAGACCGGTGCTTATTTATTATACCAGACTGAATGGAGCATTACTTTTACTCGGCTCTTTGTTGTCACAGTGAACCCAGTAAAGACCAAATGCATGTGCGAAATGAGTATTTTTGGCCTATTTTCAAATTAGGTTGTATGACATAATTTGTAAATACACCCTGGATATGTGACATTGTGTCTTTCATTGTTGCACATATTTGATAAGTTTAGCACAATAGACTACTTGGTTGAGATTTCTCCAATCTTACTTTGATATGTTTTATACAAGCATTCAGCCCACCGGATACCACTGCTTGTTTGGGCATCTTCTGTAGACACGCCAAACAGATTCAGCTCGGGATTGGACAACCTTGGAAGCTTGTAAATCCGTGTCCCGATAGATAAAACACGCCATTGCAGTTCACCCTATAAAGTATGAGAAATTTATTTGTCTTGTATTTCGATGAAAACTATCAAAATATAAGCAATTTTTCTATGTTTTGTAAAATTCAAATTATAAACACTAGATAAACACACATACACAAAAACACCACGCCGGTTAGAACACATCCAAGTTAACCAACTAATACATTTCAGTTCAGTGATTCAACAAACTCACCTGACATCTGTCAACCGTGGCCTTGATGCACCAGTATGCTGTGTGTCCATGTGGGTTATTGGGCCACTCAAATATAACATTCCCTTCGTCTTGTCTTACCATCCATGGCGTATGCTGTACCCCTGTTGATTAAACATGTGAGTAATGTCAAAGGTGTGACATGGGCTGTTCTGAAATGGTAGGCCAGTGGTCTCAAAATGATAAAATGGTTACGCGCACTCATCAATATTAGTACAAAATATAGATATGGATAACACATTTAAAAGAAAGTTTAATTTATTTGTTCTTATGTTATTATTCGTCGTCCCCAAAGGATTGCAAGATTTGTTGACAATGGCGTGCTATCTGTACACATACATTGAATACATTGAATCAAGAGAATAGCGACGACTGAGGTACTGGCGATCCCATCCTCCATGACAGTCACTTACGTTTACTTGTTTGATTCACAACAATTGTAGGATTCGGAAGTGAAGAATTTCTTCCCTTCCTAGTGGCACTAATCACTTCAAATGTTGACCGGGCATCTACAGTTTTTCGGAAAGTCCCCGAGGTGGTACTTGAATTGAGCGGACCCTCTGTCTTTGAGCTGGTCATTACTGGAGTATAAGTTACGATACCATTCCGTAACTTTGGGGTAATTTCCTGCCAATATATAGTGACATATGCCTGATCTCCTTCTGTATGTTCATAAAATGCTCCCCTTGTTACATTAGGAATGCCACCTGGCACTGAAATATACCAAAGTAAATGCATACTTACACGAGTACTGTACCGACAGAGACACTTAGCCTCAAAGAGCGTCATTTTTAGAACATTAAGTCACAATTTAATCAATCCAGGACATAGCATCAAACTGATCCCAACAAGGAGAAATGAGAGCTCATGTAAAAATGAGATCTTGTTACTACATCAGCATTTTGCATAGGATCTATATAAATAATTTTATATAAATTAATAATTATAATTTTTTTACGATAAGGTTGAACATTAAAGTTAATGATAAAAGTGATGATATTGAACATTTTTATGTGGTGCATGATAAGGTAACAAATATCTCTTCCATTCTACATTCCAATAAATCAAATATCAAAGAACTCATTTTCAATCTCACCGTCATCATGTGTATCTGCCACGATTATAGACGAGTCGCTGGGATAGCCCACTATACTGTTATCATAGATGGCTCTGACAATCACTTCTATTGTGTAGTTTGTAAATGGTATCAGCCCTGTGATGTATATAAATTCCCTTTCTTCGTTTTGTAGTACTGTCTGAAAAATAAATTGATGATTTCAGTTGTCATGTGGAGATATAAGCACATGTTTGAGTATTACAGTATTGAGTTTGAAACTACGGGAAATAAATGTACTCCAAAGATCGAAAATCGTTCTACAGTGTGTCTCAAAAAAAATGTTACACTTACAAAAAGTTCAATATCTTTCATGATTTTGACTTTTCCCCTAAAATATACTTAGATACCAAAATACCAGCCTTTCTCGAATAAATCCACACCATCTGATTCAAAATTCGTCCATGATTGGCTGCACAAGACTGATTTTATAGACACATGTGAAATCTGATTTGCGCCAACTTCTCAGTGGTTGGACATGTGGCGGTCAATTCTTTTTTGGTGTGAATGCTGTGGACAGTGATATCTTGAAATGATCAATGATTCAGTTGTTTCTTTCCTGGATAGATATACAACATTTCATTGTCAAAGGTTCAATTTTGTTACGTATGATGACAACAGGATGGTGCAAAGGCGTATGGCAGATCATTTGATAGAACTCTTTGGAAATCAGAGGATAGCATTGAATTACCCAATTGATTGGCCCCCAGGGTCACCCTACTTTACACCCTTGATTTTTTGAAGGGCCTCTGAAAGCCCTTTACAGCATCACAAACTAACCTAAATGAACTTCTACAAAAATAATTGATGGAATCAGTGTGATATTACAATGCATGTTCGCATGGGCAAGGGTACCTCAGATTTGCTTTCACATTCAACATATGTTGAGGGGACCACATGTTTATGTGGATAGACCCAATGACCATATGTAAGACAAATAGGAAAATTACAGAATGACTCAGTTAAAGGTCAAGCTTCTGCTTGGAAGAAAGTTAAATGTTAAAGAAACTGTCCTTGTTTTGTCATTTGGTCCATCCAATCACTTAGAAGTTGGCGCAAGTCAGATTTTACTATGGGACACTAAAAGCTGTCCCGTAGAGCCAATCAAGGACAGATTTTAAATCTGATGGTGTCAAATTATTCGAGAAAGATTTGTCTTTTGGTATCCAAAGTATATTTTAGGGGGAAGTCAAAATTATGAAAGATATTGAACTTTTTGGAAGTGTAACATTTTTTTTGAGACACTCTGTATGAATCCATCTGACGACACACAAGACCTGTCTCCCTTCAACCCAATGGAAAATCCATCATCATCATCATTCACCATCACTCATATATGACGCATACCTTATTTTCTTTCCATTGTGAGTTGTATTTGACAACATAAACAACTTGTTTTTCACTGGGTGCAGTTCTGTTCCAATAGACAGAAATACAGGTACTATTGACCGCTGTAGATGTTGTTTTTACTGACGCTGGCTCAACTAAAATAAATTAGTATTTTCATTTGACTTTTATATTTGTTTATTTTATTTTATTATTTATTTATTTATTTTTTCATTATTCAGACATGCGAATTTTCATAAGAGACACACTTAAATATATTTAGGTGCGTCTACAGTCAGAAAAGCACATTATTGAAAAATGGATTTAATTAAAGTCTATTTAGTTACTTTCATTTGATTCTGAAAATCCATTTGAATGAAATAACTCACTGCAAGTTTGTGGATTTCTTGTGAATGTCTGTGAATTTCCCTCAACTTTCAGACGATTTGCTATGTTTACTTCAAACTTAACATATGTTGCGTTGTTCGGGGCTCGTATGGAGCAAGAACTGGCAGATATTTTCGGATACGGCCATTGGTCTTCGCATGCTGTTTCCATACTGGTATTCTCACTGAAGATATAACCAATCAATGATGTTGCAGCACGATGTGCCATTTGGCATGTCATATCTAACGTATGTTAGATATGACAAGAGAAAACGAGAGTATTATAAAGATTTGTCAGGTTTTGTCAACCATAAAAAAAAAATGGGCACACAAAGGAGCAAAAACCAGGAGAAATCCATTCTGATACTCAGACCATCTCTGCTATGCACAAGAATGTTCTATAAGGAAACTGAGAGAAGGCTGTGATATCTCACAATGGGAGAAATCGACCTTGGCGCTTCCTAGTCATATTTTGCTCATTATCATTGTTTAAAGGCCCCGTGCTAAGTACGGTACCTCACCAAAGCAACTCACCGTAATGTAATAAGAGTCTTTACGCTTGTATACAGAGTCGGGGGAAATCTTTCAGGTAGCCAGGAAAACTCTAACAAACCATTCCAATTTCTCATTCGGCACTGGATACTATGTGGCTGATCGGGTAAATCTGGGTAAATGTAGAATAATATAATATATGAGTAGTTGTCATTTAGAGAGTTTCAAATATCTTTAACACGTATCCCTATGGAAGGGGGTTCATCGATGTGTAGGGGGTGCAAAACGGGTATTCCCCATTTTTCATCTACTGCGTCATTCAGGGAATTCCCACCTAGAAAACAGGGTAATCCCCTTTTATTAAACCAGTCCTATAGGACTCGAATTCCACACCCCCGCAAACGTAAGGTCGACGTCCGGATTGACATCGAGGTTGACTTTTCCAGAAGCCAGACATTATCCAATGTTCCAGGACTATAACGTTGGTAGGTCGTAGTATGATAACAAGCCATACAATTGTCATTTCTTTACAAATAGCAGGATGATTTTAGATTGATTTAGGAGAGCCATCGGATATATCGATTGAAATACATGTACGTTGAAGTGTAAGTATTTATTACTCAAAATTGTTCAATAAATTAAACTTTAACATATTTAACTAGGGGTCAATTCGGTATAATCCTAAACTATCGTAGTATACAGAAAGAGTCCATTTCGTTTCGCTCAAGGGTATTCCCCGTTGTCATCAACTACGTCATCGATGGAATTTCCGAACGTTTTCGTGCCGTCAGAGTTGATACCAACGTTTTTCGAACGTTTAGACGATTTCAGAACGTTTCAACGTTGCCTCATCGATGAGATTTCCCTCACCATCTTGTTAGAACTGATTTAAATCGTGATGACAGTATAATAAAAATGTTCTTTAAATTAAACTTACCAGGTCGTGCTATATCTAACATGATCCTTAAATACTGTTCATTTCAAGAGTCCATTTTGTTGTTATACACATTCACAACTAATTCATAGTTCAACGTGTCTTGTACCGCTATACAATACAATACAATCTAATAGAAACCAGATGTTGACAAGTTGGCTGTGGTTAAGTTCTGGGGCAGACGAGATAAATCAGTGTAATTATATTTGGGATTATATTACAAGTCAGCTGTATTATTAAAGATATCTGGCTTTGTTTTATTTAGCATGTGAAGCAGGAAACTTTAAAGGTCGCTATATCACTTAATCATGGGTTCACATTTGTTTAGTGAACTTGTTCAAGAAATTTTAGATAGTATGCACAATATGAGGTCTATGGAAAATGTTTTCAATAAATATAAGCCTTTTGCCTGTTTCAGAAAGGGTAAACTGTCTTGGCGTTAAGGTGCATGTAGTACTAGTCTCACTATATTTTTCAAGTTTCCATGCACAAACAACTAATTTCATATATTGCGTTTGGATGTATTTATTACAACTTTTAAAATCAATAAACATGTACATCTATGTACTAAAGTCTGTTTTTCGGCCTTTCTTTCACAGAATAAATCATTTGCCTATGACAAATCATATTCACAATAAATGTTTCACAGTGTGACAAGAATATTTTAGCCAATCCAAATCGACGTGATACAATTTTGTTTCAGAATGTGGTCCATAACCTTTCAACAACACTGGTATACTATGAGTGTCACGGTTGTGTTGAGAAAGATAAATCCTCCATATTTTCCATCCAGGATCGACATTGTAGCTACCATCCGCCATTTTGAATTGTGTGATCACCTGAGACCATTCCTGGCTAGTTAGATGTATAACTATCGGACCTTCCTCTTCTGTATCTCTCAGTATGTCATTTATACTTGAATTGATGTGTGTTAAACTAGACTGTGCAAGAGGTTCTCGCCCCTCAATCACTTTTCTGCGGTTCGTAGCAGTGACAGATGTATAAATATTCGGAAAATATATACATGCTCCAAACACGTCGGCGATCAACTGTTTACTTGAATGAGTATCTGGCTTACAATCTACCAGCACATATTGATATGGCTTTGCTGTAACCTTATTATACACCTCCATAAATCTGTCCTTATTTTTCTCAAATATTCTGTCTGCCAGCATACCAATTTGTCTCCTGTCTGAGGGACATTTCCAAAGGACCACATACTGAGCATTTCTGGATATTTCCGTGTTGCACTTTCCCTTAGGAAAAGCATTTTGAAGCAGGAGGATAACACTGGTATTTCTATGTCTTCCTTGAGTAAATAGCTTAGATACAATGGTGGAATCCTTCGCTAGATCCATCAAGTCATCTAAAACGATGATATTGTTGTATGAATCATCCAAATTTGACAGATTATCCTCGTAATCAGGTAGTCCTTCGATGAAATGCATATCTCCTTTAAGGCTTCTTTTCATATCCTTGTAAACGTCTTGATATTGACCATAATACCACATGATTCGTCTCCTTTTGTGATTGTCGTAGTTGATATGATCCATCTCCAGTAATTGCCTTACAAAATATGTTTTGCCACTCTGTGTTGGTGCTATGACTAACATGGAGAACTTGTGACGAAACCTAAACTCTGGATAAGGTTCAGTAGTCATAACATTGGGCAAGTAAGACTTTAACGAAATGTTATTCGTTTGTTTGTCAGCTGAAGTTTTTCTTTGTTTGAGTTTATGACTAACGGTATGTTGAAACATTTGTTCAGTATATGAGAGGCGACATTCTCCAAACTCCGTGAGCCAACTGCTACATTTAGCTTTCTTTAACCAGAGTTGCCGTTCAGCACTGTTAAGTTTATGTACTTGACTGAGATGTGTGTTAATCGTTTTTAAATCCCTTTTTCCGCAAATGGGACAGGATTTACGATTCATATACGGCATGATATGTTGCGTGATCAAATGAGCTTTTTATAGTGATGGAAATGAAAGTGTCACTGTATTTTATAGCTTCTTCTAAACAAGTGTGTTCTGAAAATGTCCTCAAGAGGCCATCACGTTAGTTCTATATGGATTCTATTGTGGTTCTATTCGAATTCGCCAGTTGTTCTGTATGACTTTTGTATGGATTCTCCTGGGGTTCTCTATGGATTCTCCTGGGGTTCTCTATAGATTCTCATGGGGTTCTCTATGGGTTCTCTATGGATTCTCCTGGGATTCTGAATGGATTCTCCTGGGATTCTGAATGGATTCTCCTGGGATTCTGAATGGATTCTCCTGGGATTCTGAATGGATTCTCCTGGGATTCTGAATGGATTCTCCTGGGATTCTGAATGGATTCTCCTGGAATTCTGAATGGATTCTCATAGGGTTCTGTATGGGTTCTCCTGGGGTTCTGAACGGATTCTCCTGGGGTTCTCTCAGGGTTCTGAACGGATTCTCCTGGGGTTCTGTATGGGTTCTCAAAGTACTCTGTTTATGAAAGAAGAAGAAGTGGAAATGTTGTGTATATCATTGATTATTGTTTATTTGTTCTTTTTGGGAATATTGTATGGTCTATACAAGGCCCTTTTAATTTTCTTCTTTTTTAACTTAGCCTTGACGTTATCATCATCATCATCATCATCATCCCTATGTTTATGTTTGTATACCTTTGGACCATGCAGATTATGTTCTTCAACATATTTCTTTCGACGCTCAATTTGGGCTTTAGCTCTATCTACCACTGCTTGCATGGGAGATACCACCTGTATTGGTTCTTTAATGGTATTGACAACTATCAATCTCATTCGTTTACCTCCAAATCCCTTTTGATTGCTCCTTCCTGCTTTTATTATTCTTTGCCACTTTTCAGCATCGTTTACCACGGGTACGACCTTCATTGTTTTCATGATGTGACTCGATTGAAGAACAAGAGGTAATATGGTTGGTATTTTTTCTTCATGACATTATATACTCGGGGATAAATATTAGGTCACATTTGAGGTCCAAACGGTTTAAATAGATTATCAAATTTGTAACATGAATGATGTGGTGACCTTGAGGTTTTACCGCTTTACATTATGTTTGATCATATAAATTATATTCTTTATTATTTTCACAGTTAAATTCAGAATGATATAATGTTTCTCAAATATTAGGTCTATCTAAATAAAATAAAATTCATTAAATTTATTTAATATGATGGTATTTAAAAGAAGGTCTATGTATCACAAGTGCAATGATACGGGTATACAAAGTCATTTCAAGAGCGTGTAAATACTGGACTAGTAAGCCACACTTCACTTTGTTTATAAACCACTAAAACAAAACAACACAGCGTTCTTAACATAAACAATACTGCTTACCAATTATAAGATTAACTCGCTTGTCCTCGAAGCATCATAAGCATCATCGTGTTACAGGTCAAAGTTTGGTAGGCTAGACTGAATTACATGACAGCTGATAACTATATATGAGCTTCTGTAGAACATTAAGTTAAACGATATTGAGGGCGTATTTTTGTACATGCTTTTTTGACCGCAGGCAAGATTTTAATCTTAAAAATTAGCTAGATCATGGTTATACCACAATAGGATGGCGCTAAATACCGCTGTGTAAAACAATACTATTGAATAATAAACAACTGTTACAATTTCACTTGCACCTCGGTTAAACAAAAATACAGTGTAAACCTCTCTCACGTTGAACTATGAACTAGTTGTGAATATGTATAACAAAAAATATGGATTCTTAAAATGAACAGTATTTAAGGATCATGTTAGATATAGCACGACCCGGTAAGTTAAATTTATAGAACATTTTTATCATACAGTCTATACGATTTCAACCAGTTTTAACCGGATGTTGAGGGAAATCTCATCGATGAGGCAACGTTGAAACGTTCTGAAATCGTCTAAACGTTCGAAAAACGTTGGTATCAACTCTGACGGCACGAAAACGTTCGGAAATTCCATCGATGACGTAGTTGATGAAAACGGGGAATACCCTTGAGCGAAACGAAATGGACTCTTTCTGTATACTACTGTAACAACTAGCCTAATTTGGGTAGTGTGGATGGTTGTTATTTATTTTATTAGGCTAGGTCACTTCGAGGGATACTTGGTGCACATTAAATGCACGTGATGATATAGCGACACAACATCGAATATAAAATAAACACACATATATTGTTGCTTATCCAGCCCAAAAATGTATACAGAATAAATCGGTGTAAATTAAGTTGTAAAGAGACGACTT